GAAAACATTTATATTCCTGCCTCCAACTATGGCCATTTCAGTCGGGTTTCTGTTCTGCTGGTCCTTTTTGCTTTTCCAAGAAGCCCAAATTCCAGTAGCTAAAGTTAATGTAAAAAACACACTCAAAGATAGTAAGCCTGGTATATTTAGAGCCATTTTATGTTGCTTACTTTAGATCATAGAAAGGAATAATGGCTTGATGATATATTCTTTGATCAAGTCCACAATCAGAAAAAAAATAGAAAAAAAAATTTTAAAAAATAGTGCTGTCTTGTAAAGAAAGCACTAAGTATTAGTTTTCTGTACTTTGCAATGAAAGATGCTATATGAAACAGAGCCGTAAACCCAAGAGTCTTAAGAACTGGATGCAAAGTCTCTGTCTTTGGAAGACTACTGGCAATTCTTCTGTCTTCCCCTTTTTTCAGAAGATACCCAACCTTATTTTTCTGGGGAGCAGAGAATAAGAGGATAGGAATTAGTGTTGATAAGAGCAATGGAGCACTGATGTGAGGGGTAATTCTAGCTTGGCTTAAAGGGGGGGAAATGTTATATTTTGTCTGATATGCAATGGTATGAAAATAATCTGTATTTCTCTAGGTTCTAGGCACAAGGCTAACACGGAAGATAGGGATAAGAATTTGTCTGTTTAAAGGTGACTGAACTAAACCCATAATAATCATCAAAATAAGTCCAGAAAATAGTGTAAAAAGATTTACCATTGATCAACTGAAGGAGCTGCACACTGATATTCAAATCAAGCATATTATCATTTCACTGCTGGAAACAGGCAGGAGAGCAAGGCATTAGGCTCTGCAATAAAACTACAGGAAAAATACAGACTTTTTAATACTACTTTGTGATGCTGCTTTTTAACAGGCATAATTCTGAGGAAAACTGATACATACATTAAGGAATTAAGATAGTTACATTTATTATAGAGTTGCCATATCAATATCTTTTTAGTAGCCCTGTGAGACTTTTTCATCTGTTCAGGTATGATGATTCTTCATAAACAATTCTATGTAAAAACTGCCCTATTTAGGGCACTTGTTCAGCTTTCCTGGGTACTTGCATTTATCTGTGGAGTGGATAGCGCCTTTCCATGTGGAAATCAGAGATTTCTTCATCACAGATGAACTCTGAGCAGGAGTTTGAAAGCTGAAATCTTTAGGAAGGTTTTCTGCAGTGTGCCGTCTCCTGCAGACATCCAGGAGTAGCTGTGCATGGAAATGACAGTGGCACAGTTTCAGCATGTCCCCTGGGCAGGGCATGGTAGGAACACACAGCACAAAGGCGATGGCTGTGGGAAGAAGAAAGGAGAAGTCCAGGAACCCCATGTTTTCTCTGACACCTCTGTACTGTGGAAAATAAGGTTTTTGGTAAGTTATACAGTGATCTGGTGGGAAGACTCTTTAAGGAGTGTTTTAAAAAAGTGAAAGTCAAAAAAAAAAAGAAAAAGCCCAAGAATCTGCCTCAGGAGAATTATTCGTTTATATTTATACTCAAATACTATTTTGATTGAGTGAGGGGGTTTATTTTTGACCCAATTATTTATGTACAGAAAGAGACACTGCATTTTTAAGGCACAGTTTCTGGGTGGTAATTAGAAACACTCCCTTTCATCTTAACTGCACCTGCTACAAAGTTGTAGAAATTGCAGCTGTCAGTGGCAATGGAGGCACTGGCTTCTCTGGGCGGTCTTCCTTGCTGAAAACAGGATATTTCAAAAGCTTTTAAAATGCTATTTACACATAGACACAGGCTAATCTTTGTTCTATGAACAGATGTTTTGCAGCATAATTCCTAGGCAGGAACAAAAATGGATTGAAGCTGCACACGGCCAGATCTCAGTGCGCTCTGCAACCAGGCACTCCTGGGAGGAAATACCTGATGTTGCATCCTTCATGTGGGGGTTAACTAGCCTCAACATGTCCAATGCAAGATTTGAATTTGTTCTCTGATACCTGTAGAGATCATCTGGACTGATTCTGCTTTTTACCATCTCTTGGGAAAAAAAAAAAAAAAAAAAAAAATGTATCAGGCATAAAAATCTGCAGGGAAAATTAATTCAAAGACCCAGAGGGGTAGAAGGCAGATGCGGTAGGACAAAATGTAAGTGAATATATTACATGATGGGATAAAGGAGATTTAGAGAAAAAGTATGTGTAAGGTAGTGCATCTGAAGCTGGAGTGGTTTTGATGGTATGCAGTGCATGGAAGAAGGATTATAAAAGCATGAGGTTATACCAAAAAGACCAATTCCTCACTGAATCTGTTGTGCTGTTTTGCGACTAGATGACTCTCAGGTAATGCATCTATTTTTCCAAAAAAAAAGAAATCTTACTAATGGAGAGATGTTTGAGGTGGGATTCACCTCCCCACTGATGATGGAGGGCTGCAGCTTTGGGTGCCAGCTGCTGTTCTGCTCACCTCAAGCTCACCACAAGCTCCCTGTGTAACCCATGGGGAGAAATATAAAATTTTAGGATGTGAGGCACTGACCTACTTTAGGTCCCATGAGGCAAGACAGAGCAAGGACAGATCTCGGTCTGCTGGACTCAGGGCTGCTTTAAGATCAGTGTCACTGTACCCATTAGATATTTCAGGGCTTGATTTGATGGATCATGTAGAGATGGCTGGTGTCACCTGAGGTCTGAGGCTCTAAAGCTTCTGAGACATCCACATGGGTGAGCAGATGTTACAGAGCCACTGTGAGACACACAGGCTCTTCTGGAGCAGCAGCCAGGAGATTCTGGTGTATCTCCAATGGTGCTGGTTATCTCCTTGGGGGATATTCATCTGAGCTCTTACTCTCTCCTTATTACTTAACCTTAATGGAACAAACTCTGACATGGGTGGTTGATAAAAGTAGAGGAATGCCTGGAAGAAAGTGAGGAGTACTGAGTGTCAGGGAAGCTTTCTATCTTCCGTGGAAATGATCTGCACCATGGTGAGCACTTACAGCTACTCATCTTTGAAGATAACCAACTGGAAGTAATAAAGCTGGACAAAACAGTGATCTCTGTGCCTTTGATAAAGCCCTTGCTCTGCCTTTGATAAAGCCCTTGCCATGCCTTTCTGGGTTAAATGTGTCACGTTATTGTCAATGAGCTTTAGACAGCCCTCTGTGGCCCATGGGCTCAGGGGGAAAGGGGCGTTGTGGAGTGAGAGAGGACCTGCAGGGAAGGGCATTTCCGAAGGGTGGCTGTTCCCTGTCTCTCCTGTGGAAAGGGACAAGACCAATGAACTAATGTTCTGTAAGAAATTAAATAAAGTACTCTGAGAATCTGGAAAGGTGGTTTTTTTCATTTTCCTTTGGGATTTGTTTTAAGTTTGTTTGCAAAGAAGTGGTTCCCTGTGAGGAGAGACACAGGACTGGGGCTGCGGCAGTAGAGCAGAGGCTGTGGCACAGGGAGGTCTGCGAGGACCAACTTCTTCACTGGTTTGCTTTGCTCCATGCACCAAGAAAAATCAAGCACTGGGACCTGAGGCATCTGAGCTATTTGCATCAAAATGGTCTGACAGATCCTCTTGAAATGAGATGGTATGAGCTACTCTGTGGTTTCCAACCCAGGTATTTGAATCATGCCCTTGATCCTGGCAGCTGAAACATTGGGCTGTTGGTCTCCAAACAATTACAGTTTTTCAGATGATGTCCTTGGTCTAAAGTTTTATTCCTATCCCTAATCAATCCCAGGGACAATTTATTCTCTTCCAACCAACACAGGTTTTCATGTAGATGATCTCTTGCATGAGTTACAAATGCAGACGAGAGAGGTATAATTTGATTAGAAAGTAACATATTTTTACTTCTTGTATGAGAGTCTGTGTCCTAAGACTGCACAGTGAATAATAAATATAAAAACTAAACAAATGTTTTGTCATTATGCCTGTGTGAGTTTTTGACCATTAAGTATTTAAGATTGATAGATATATAGAAGACATTGGTAGGTAGGTAGGTAGGTAGGTAGGTAGGTAGGTAGGTAGGTAGGTAGGTAGGTAGGTAGGTAGGTAGGTAGAGGATGAATAGAGATAAAAGATAGCTATAGAAGAATATTATTAGTTGCTTAGTTTTACTAAATTCTTCATGTGCACAATACATAAAACATTTCAAAGGCAAAATACCTCTTTTTCTTTGGTAGGAGATTTCACTGAAATAATTCTTCCCATTTTGAAAAAAAACAAACCAAACCAAAATAAAATCTGTAGTAGTTCTGTGACATGATATTTTATCTTCAGTGAAGCCAACTCTGTCCAGACAACAATGATTTTTATTAGTATTATGCAGCCAATTTCTTACAGGTCTCTGCAGTGCTCAATGTGAGGAGCTGCCCATGTTGCGATGTGGTGGCTGGCTCCCAGAGAAGTCTCTGGTGACGCTTCTGAGAGCTCAGGCTTTGCCAGGTGTAAAAGACAATTTGGGGATCTGAAAAACCATGACCTGAAATTATTTCACTGAATTTTAGCCCCCTTTAGGTATCTTTGTTAAATTAATTTTTAGCATCCTTGAGTTTGCAAGAGGTGAGTGTTTGCTTTGGTCTCCCACACCTCTGTGTTTCTATCTCCAGCTGAGATATGTAGGTCTCCAGAGATCTGCGATTGGCTCTTAGGTGTGACACAGAACATGTGAGAGATCTTTACCACTTCAAGTGGCACCTGGAGGCTGAGCAGGATGCTTTGCTGCACTTGAAATGGCACCAGATGTTCCTGTCTAGGGTGAACAACTGAATCTTGCCTGGAGAGGCAATTCCTCCTGCCTGCTTTAGATATCTCACTCATTATGGGCTGGGGGAAGGCTGACTCTCTCCATGGACTACACGGTTTGATGTCTCCTGAAAGTCTCTGAGATGTCTCCTTCTGAGTCTTCTGAAAAGACTCCTTTTCAGTGGTTCAAGTTAGAAAAAAAGAATTTAACTCTTTCTGCGTTATTCCATATCTCTTCTTACCAGAGCTAGTTTGAAGTCACAGATCCTTTAGGTCATACAAATCAAGCCAGAAAATAACTTCAGAATAACAATATTTAATATTTACATATATCAGTGAGGCCAGTGATTGCACAGTTGACAGGACAGAGGGTATCCCCATTAGCACACAGACATGACATAAAGATCCCCAGGGCAGGACAGCTTGGAACAAGCAGATGGCAGCAGTACAGTGCGTTTCCCTTCCTGTGCTGGAGGTAGTGTGTGACAGCGGGTACTTCTCCCTCTCCTGGTCCTGGCACAGCCCAAACTGGCTTTATCATAGAGATGAGAGTCAGGGAGAAAAAACTAAAGGGGCAGGGCTGATATTTAGGGGCTGCGAAGAGCTCCCAGAGCCCCTCTGCTGATGAAGGAGTCTCTCTCGGTCTGGTTACACGCTGAATAGCCTTACTTCTGGCTGCCTCCTTGACTCTTTTCCTGGTTGAATCAGTTGGCTTTATTTTGATGTCCACTTTATATGGTAACACTGTCCAGGCTTAACTGCTGACAATGAACATGTGTTTTTTAAGCCACATGGCAGGTTTGGATGCACTTAGTCATGATTGCAAACTTCAGCAAGTCTTATGCTTTTTTTTTTTTTTTTACAGAGGGTGCTTTTAAGTTTTATAGTAAAATTTCCTGCTTCTAGGAGTGAAGCTGTGCACCAAGGAAGTGTGCATATGTTCCTCATTTTAGCATAGCTGACATTTACTTCCCCATTTTGTATAAAAGGTTTTGTGCACTGCATTAGAGTATAACACAACCAACCAGCTGTGTTTGCAATAACTGTGCTCAAATAACTTGTTCACATGCCACAATGCAGAAATATGAACAACTTTTCCCTGAGAAAAAACAAATGTCTCTCTTTGAAAAATAGACTCCAAGTGCTTTAAATCTATTCAGGTTTTCATTACTGCATACATGCCTTCAGGATGGATGAAGATTATCTCACAGTTTGGCTGACTCAGGGAAGTCAGTGGCATGTCCAAGAATTAACCTTTGAGGAAGTCACTCAAATGATGGGGTTTCTGAAATTTGCCAGTCATGGATTTTAGCATTAAGGGCTTGATCTTGAGTGATGATGGGGAATGACGCAGTTTCTGGTTGGGATTACTGTTGCTGTAACACCAAGACTGACGCAATTTGTTGCCTTTCAGATTATATCTCTTATTCGTTACTAAACGGCACATAATTACTTCCTTTATCAATTTAAAGTTTATCTTTACCAGTTAATTGCTTGACTGTGTGGTCTATTCTAGAATAGCCATATTGACCTGTGTGGAAATTAGTGAGACTCTTATGGAGTCTCATGAGGGCAAAATTTGTGCTGAGGTTTTCCTCCTTTTAGTTAAACTGGACATTGTTAAAGTCTTGCTCCAACCCTACTGTCTATATTGACTCAGATGCCTCTCCAGGGCTACCACATCTCTCAGATGCTCCTGCAGAACTGATGTAGAAGTGCACTGGACTTTGGTGAACACGATAGCAAGCTGCCAAATGAGCACAAGGGGCTTGGCTCCAGGGTGGCTGAGGGAGGCTGAAAACCGGGTGCTTCAATTGCCACTTGATATATTCTCTGCTCATTCTAATTTAAATTTGGGAGTGCCTGGGTAGCAAGTTAATAGGAAGAAACAAGTGAGCTCAAGGTGGGATTTGGAGGGGATGGGAGGTTATTTACATATAGTCAGAGGGTGCCTGCTTCATGCAGCTGCTAAATGCATACATTAGCAACAGTTCGGTTTCCCATATACACAAGAGGGCAAGTGGTGAGCTTTGACCTGGGGACCTTTGTGTTTTATGCACAAGCATGGCAGTCAGGACCAGACAGATTAGTGTTTTCACCAATACCTGAGATTTAACAGGAGTATTTAGAGAGATGAAAATTTGGAGTCTTGGCTCTTTATGATCTAGTCTTTTTCCACCCTGACTTCTTTATAAAAAATTATTTTTTCCCCATGAAACTCCTGAAGATTTTGGACTTTCTTTGTCATCCCCCCATAAATACAGCACAGTGCACTATCCTTATTGTATGTGGATTGGCAGCTTGGGGCTTCTCCTGGCACACCCTGTAGGTCGTTCACATTCCAGAGATATTTGTCTGAAAGACAATGAATGAAACATGATTAATTAATATTCCAGGAGGATATCAGATTTACTGCAAGCATCTTGTACAATGAAAATAAACAGTGAAAAGAATGCAGTGGTGATAAATAAAACTTGAAAGGTGTTTTCTTTCATTTTGTAAAATGACATTTTTACTACTGCTGACCAGTTAAACCCACCTTTTCTTCTCATCTGTCTCACTTACAGATGCTGGTGTGTCATTACATTTTATCAAAAAAGCTTCTTGAATTGGAACACAACCAGGCAACTGAGTATGTCAATACATTACACTGCTTCACTGTTTTGAAATATCTGCGGACCAGGTTATCGCTGACGACAATGTGAGGCAGAGAGAAAGACAGTGTGCAAAATGCATCTGTACTGCCTCAGCCTCCCAGAGTAGCTGTGCAGATCTCCATGATCATGTACCATTCCCAGATCTTCAAAAAATAAAAGTGGTAAGAATGTAAAGCACTCTGATTCCTTTTACTGCATACCAACCTTTCTTTTCCTCATACATGTGCCACATATGAAGCTGGTAAGTCCACTGATGACTTGAATAAAACAAAGAATAGCTTCAACCACACCAATGGCCAGAAGAATAGAGAAAAGGATGATATTCCAAAGGATGATATTTTCAGGTTCTTTGCAAATGCTCCATGTTGTCTGGTTGAACAAATAATTGTCTCTGTGATAGAGAAAAAGAATTGACAATGTATTAGAAAATAAAAATTTGAGAATGCTTTCTGTGTTTTCTGGAATTGCACTTTTTGAACTTGACTACACAAAGTGAGTCTCAAGTTCTGGTATAACTGGTAAAAGCTGCTGATTCTTTTCAGAATTGCTTTTGCAGAAGTGTAATTGATGACTAGGAAAGAGAGCCACATCTGTACTTTTTTGCAGGCACAAGAATCTCCCTTTTGTTTTATGGCAGTGTTAATAATTAAAGGGAAAGGTCCCTAATGGTTTTTAAATGTGTCTCTATATATTCTCCATTCCTGCTGTGTTATCTCAGCCCAGTCTATTCACTGTCACTAGCTCTGGCTTGGAGAGGTGGTTGCCGAGGTTAACTTTAAATAGTTAGAAAATATTTTTGCTTTTCTTTTCAGAATTAGGTAGAGTAGACTCAAATCATGATGATTTAACAGATTAATGTCACATACTTGTTGAACAATTCCTTTTGATTCTGGTTGGAGTCACAGCTCAGTAGCCTTTTGAAAGCGTCGTGCAATTTACACAAGGGGCTGCTGACAAGCACAACAGAAGAAACTTGAGCAGTTTGCCCAAAGATGATCCTTGGCCAGAGAGATGACCAGCTGGAACATGCTAGCTCAGAGAAATATGAATATATTTGTAGACCAGGTGAACCATTAATGCACTTTGGAAAAATTCTAATTTGCTATCAAAAGGTGTGTGTGGGGGGAACTAAGGAAAGCAAAGTTGGAGGAGTCTCTAAGTCATACTCACTCCAGAGTGTCATTCCTGAAAGGGTAAACATATTCTCCGTCACCTGTGTCGCACAGAGGACCCCCAATCAGCCCCAGTGAGGAGATGACTGCACAATACGCTCCTCCTGCAAATCCCAGCATGGCCAGGAACACTGACAGCAGCATCTGAAAGGGAAAAGACCTTCAATATCACCTGCACAGAGGTATTGAGTAGCATGAAAATCTTATACTGAATGGAAAGGAAATAATCTTTATCTGTTTTTTTACTACATGCTGAAACTCATAATAATAGTATGATATTTGTGGGGAAAAAAAAATAGTTGACTTCTGACTAGTGCAGATGCTGTAGATGTGAAAGGATTTCAGACTTTATTTATTTTGCTTTTAAAACTGGATAAACTCAGAGCTTTAGTCATTCAGTTTTATACTTGACCAATCAATTATGAAAACTCTGGTGGTCTTCTTTCAAAAAGCCAGTATGAAGCCAGTACTGGCTTGATGTGGTCCACATCATGTGCCATGGCATTTCCACCTCTTCACCAAGAGCACCTTTCTCAGCCCGTGTACCAACAGAAACTAGCAAGCAACTACTGAACCAGGTATGAAAGCAACAGAAGATGCATTAGTTATTCTTGCTAATTGATGATAAATGCAGAAGAGCCTTTCTTACTCTGTTTTCCTTCATTTTGCAACAACATATCTGGTTACCACTACTTGTGTTGAGAAATCTAATTGTGCTGTGTGTGGCAACAAACCATCAGTCATTTCGAATTATATGTAATGCCTCTGTACGTTTTACACTGGCCACTCCCACACAAATGTTACCTTTGCTCTGTTTTGGGGTAGTTTTCTATTAGTGGATGGAATGTATCTGGTTGCTCTTTGTATATAGAAACAAGAATCTCAGGCTACTGGTGTTGTCTCTGGGACAGGCTTCCTGCTAGTCTTGTTAAGAGTCCCTGCCTGTGATTGTTCACAACTCTGCCAAGAAGAAGAAGAAAAGAAAAGGAAACTCTGGAGCAGACTAACAGAGCCAGAGGAAGACCTGAACTAGGGGCAAAGCAGCAAGACTGCCTCGGAGTCAGGGCAGAGGCATGACTGAGGAAGCACATGGGAAACACTCCCATCCATGACTTGGGTTTGAAGCCAAATACCTCTGGCAACATTTCCCTGTTGCCAGCAAATACCAGTGAAATCTAACAGCCCACAAGGAAGGTAGAAACCTTTTCCTCCAAAGAGCGCTGCATTACAGAGTCAAATGGAAATAACTGCCATCCACGTTGCAGATTTGTGACACAGCCTTGAAAAGTATTCACTATCCAAACGTGTTTAAGCTGGTGCATGCAGTTTCCAACTTGCCAGCTGATGACATTACTGCTTTCTGTACAACCCTGCATGCTGCCAGTGTATGAATTGACTCATTTTGTGTATCCTTTGCCTCCAAAGCAATCCTTGAGTTAGTAGTTGCTGGGAATTCTCATGCAATTTATTTCATCATAACTGATTAATAACTCTTTTTTTTGCAAAGCTGGACACTCTTTTTGTCTTTATCTGCATGTTGGCTGAGTTGCCTCTTAGCAGAGTTTCATTGTCAGCAAAATCTAGGTAATTTAGCAAATAGTCTCAGACCAAAGCATTGCTGGGTTGTAGCTGATGCGCTGTCTCTCATAATAAGATTACCAGCCATGCCTTGCGGTGAAGGTGAGTGACTGATACCCTGTCTGAAACTCCTACCTACACTGAACTACTTCTCCTCACATATTTTCTCATTTTTTTCAACTGTGCATTCTGCATCTTGGTTGAAGGATCTTAATTATGCTAATGATTAGTTTTATCACAACATAGCAGGATGTTCATCCCAAAGACAATTATGATAGAAAAAGTCAAATGGTCTTTTGTTAATACTGTGTTTTATGATAGTGGTTAGTACTAGTTGTACTAGTAGTACTCATCAGTGCTGTATTTCATAACTATTCTTTGACACATGATTTTCTCATTTGACATCTGTTGGTTGTATGGCTACCTTCATCTCAGCAATTTCCTTTTCTGTGCACAAGTTTATAGACAAAGACCACTTGTCACTGAAAGGAGAGTCTGAACTTGCTGCAACTGTTAAATTTGCTCTCCTGGGCATTTTCTAGTCACACAGTGGCATTTTCCTGTTATATCTACTATTCTGGAGTCTTTTCTGGAGGCTTGTCCCATATTCTATGGAAATCCAACAATTTTATTAAGTATCGCGTCATATCAACCTTTCAGCATTTCCCCTATCTGTACCATGTTAATTTATCTCTTTTTTGGAAATTTTTTTATTCCCTCATTTGTGTCTTCATTTGCAACATGAGGTCCAAGCTAGGATGCTTGAGTCTGTTGAAATTAGTTTCCTATGGCTTGTTCTCCACCTCTCAAAGGTTTAGCTGATAATTTTTGCTGATTTTCTTTTAATGTTTTCCTGCTTTATCCTCCACACAATGGGATTGTCTCCAGTGAGCTGATGAAGACTTTTAGCACTCATTCTTTGAACACTAGCATCAGCTGCTTTGGTGAATTTACCAAGTTCCCCCTGTCTGAGCTTGCACTGATCTTTATTGCCCTGGTTCTTGTTTCATGCCTATTTCTTTCTTCTGTGTTTCTTTCTCTGGAGTTGTTCTTTTGTGGAATTAATATCCTCTCTGGTTATTCAGATAGCTTTGCTTATCTAGGTTTGTTTGTCTGGAAAGATGCTGTGGCTATTCTTCTTCTACTAGTAACTCTTAAGGAAGTCTTAGAGAGACATACTGGAGTATGTTTGCTGATGCAATGACAGAAGCTGTGTGTGTGGGGAGGGGCTTTTTTCCTCACAGTGCCAGTGCAGTGGATCCTTTCAGATGTGTACACACTAAGCTGCAAGACATGAAATCTTTCTAATCTGTTACTTTTCAAAACCTTTCCTCCATAATGCAAAGATAAGATGCCACCTAGGTATGTTTGCAGGCAACAATTTAAAATGGGTTAATGAAAAAAGTTACTCAATGCAGCACAAAATCACTGTGAACTGGAGAATTCAATAAGGTGAATAAACGGATGAGAAATTTAGTAATTATTACTACTGTTGTTGATACTTCAGCAGTGTGTAAAGGCTGTGATGAAGTCTGAAATTATTAAACCAGGGATTGCACAAAATATAATAGGATAGAGTCCCTACCCTGAGGAAAGTACTTATGTTCTGATTAAATAATAATTCCGATCATTGCTAGTTCTTTAGCCTTTTTTTTTTTTTTTCTCATATGAAAAGCAATGTTGAATATTCAATGGAAATTATAACTTTAGACCTAAGGTCCCCAAAGCAGAATGGTGGACAAACTAACCTTTGAATTCAGAGGTTCCTGAATAGCTTCAGTGTGTGTTATTTCTCTGCCAGCCGATAGAATATGGTGGACAAGCAACCAAGAGCTGGGGACCCTCTATGAGGTCCACGACCCAGACCCATCTTGCAAGGTGCATTGGCACCTTGGGAAGTCGCTGCCATGATGCATGTTTGAACCACGTTTGAACCAGTCCCACAGCTGCTCTGCTCTCCAGCACCTGGTGATTCACACCGTACCCCGCCTTGGGTATACAGCCTGCATGGTCAGAGCATCTGAGCAACCCTGCTGTGGGTGTCTGTGCATTTCCTCCCTCTATCCCCAAAGCAAAGTTTCCCTGAGGTTTCTTCTCCTGAAGAAGCACAATGTTAGCCTTCAGATCTCCCTGCAATACTCACTTCTTCTTGCATGCTTGAAAATCACTCTTTGCCAGGAGCTGTGCAGGGGAAACCATTGTTTTTAATGCCATTCATAGCCACTCATGTTCCCATCTCATGTCTCCATCTTATCTTTACATTGAGCCACATTCTGTTTAAACCATAGAGTGACTTGTAGATATTCACCCCTTTCCACCTCAAAGATGTAGGCAATTCCCACAGTCCCGGAAGACAGCATTTTCAAAGAAATACTGTCCTTATTGAGCCTATTCTCTGGTTTGAGTAGATTTATCACCTGGCCAACAACTATCTCTCTTTATACAAATATTGTAGTGCATAATCAAACTACTTTCTCAACAATGTCTGTTGTATTCCTCTATAACAGCAAATAAGGAAGAGGAGAAACAGTTCATAAGTAACCTCTCAGTGTTGGGAAGGTGCAGACAGGATACCTGGCATCCATGTGCTGCTGCTAGGAATGGCTCAGACATCTACAGGGTGGTGGAGGAGAACAGAGTGTGGGGGTCTGTGGATGTGAGCTGCTGGACAGCACTGTGCTACCACCTGCACCAGTGGGCTGGGGGAGTGAACCCAGCCAGACTGGGGAAGTTTGACTCTTGGCTCTGTAATATTTGGTGCTGGGATGAAGGACAGAGAAGGGAGACCTGAGATGCTGTGTGAACTGAGCCCAGTTCAGCTGGATTTCCCCTCGTGACGTACCACATTCAGCAGTGTGGGAACACCCACAGTACAGCTGTTTTTCACCACCACTTTCTACATCACTCAAAATAGGAGAAGCATCTGGCTCAAGCACTGGGTTCAGGGTGCGTAGGCTCACACCCCAGCTCTGTCACTGGCCTACTTGGCCATCATCAGCATCCTCTCTGTGCATGTGACACTTAGTAAAATCAATGTAATGACATGTCCCTTGAGATGTACTTGCTGACATCCTAATGAAGAATGTTATTTTGGTATTATGAATAATGAATTAAGTAAAATATCTTGAAGAGGTAAAGGTCTTCTCATGGATCAACCTAAATATTAATTGCTTTATTGTACGGAATCACTCATTCTAGGATGCTTCTGGGAAGGCTGCACACTAAAAAAAAACATTTCTAAGTCAGTTTATTCTTGCTAATAAGGATGGCCACACAGAAGTCTGTGCCCTGGGTTTGAGGATTAATTGAGATGCCTGTATAGCATGTTGCTTTATAGTATTCTTAATTATCAAGGGAAAAAATATCTCTGGCCTTTCTCTGGATGACAGAGAGCCCAAATTGCATTTGCACCTTTTATGTGCATAACACTTGGGCAAATGCATGCTATGGGTCAAAGCATGGGGACCAGCCTCCAGGAAGCAGAGCTGGGTCCTCAGTGATAGCCGCAGCAGCTTTGGCTTTTAGCATGGGCTTGCAAAGTAGGGGACCTCTCTGCCCCTATGAAGGTAAGCAAGGATGAACCTGTGGAAAAAAAAACTGCCATGGAAGGGTATGAAGGAAACCAGACCATGTGGAAACAGAAGGAACAGGCAGCTGTCTCAATCTTTAGGATTGCCTTGAGCAGGAGGAAGTGGAGCTGCGTTTTACTTTACATGGGATGAAGTGAAATAACTTTGTACCCCTCTGCCCTCAGCATTGTGCCTAAATGCTCCAATACCCGCCCTGGTTGAGTATGATTTCCCTCATGTCAGTGGCTGCAATATCATAACATTCTTGTTGGCTAACTGGGCTCTCAGCCCCAGCCCAGGGACGCTGTAGATCAAGATCCTCTTCTGCATTTCCCTGACATGGCTGCTGATGGTGGTGGTTTGTCATTGTACGTTTCCACCTGTTGAGCAGCCATTTAAGAGCTATTGTGCAAACCCTATAGTGCCATTTCAACACATAAATATCCACTTACCCCACATCGGTTAGCGCAACATCCTGCTCCTCCTGCTCCCAGCATCATGAATGCCGGCAAAATAACCTGTGAGGAAAGCACAAGCTGAATTGGCATGCAGTACTTCTGCTGGGATGGTTTTTAAAGTCTAGGAGCTGAGGCATCATGTTCCTCAAATGCAAACCACCTGCTGTCCCTTCTCTGTGAGTTATACCTACTTAGAAGTTGGTGCTTGCTGAAGAGTAATTCAGGAAGAAGTGTGAAATTATGGCTAGAGCTGGCTGTCAAGCTTCTGGTACAGTAATTCTGATTGCTGAAGTTATACTGGTTCTTTTCAGCAGAGTTTTGTTGGATTTTTCAGGAGCAAATGTGTCAGTTTTGAGAAATGGAATTTCTGCTCAGAAAAGATGTGTCCCTGGAGTAAGAATTATATCAGTTTAAATCTTCTGAGAATCCTACTCTAGATTATATTTGAAAAACCAGTCTTAAAGTTCCTGAAAAACATCTGACTTTGGTTCTTTTTGCTATGCTTCTGGAAAACCTTCAAAATAGACTTCACTCAACAGGGAACTCCCAGTTCACATCAGCTTTGCCATGGTAATTATCAGGTGGAGCTGGACTGATACAATGAAGTCAGTAACCATCTGTGTCTCAGGATATAATATCACTTTACAGAGTCACTCTGGAGATAGGAAAAGTTGCATTTCGTTTGGTAGCCAGAGGGCAAGAAAGCTTTTGTGGGTCTAGATGTGCAGCCAGAGCACTCCCAGCTGCCTTGCCTCTGCCCACCACTGCTTGCGTAGGCATCTCAAAGAGCAATGCAAGAAAATGAGTATTTGGGAAAGTAGGAAATTGTCCCTTAAAGTTAATGAAAGAAGGAGAAACCCCCCCCCCCCCCCCCCCAAACAAAAATAGAAGGTGTAAAAACAGTTTGACTAGATGTTGGAGAGATATTGTCCCATGTAGGGCAGGAAGAGCAGAATGTCCACAGTGAATGAACCCCAGGGAATTTTTATGTGTAGTGTGACTATGTCTGTTAGACTGTGTAGGACAGTGTTATGAAAACTGCTTAGATTTGTAGGCCCCTAAATATTTTTCAAAGGATTTGCTCTCTGTTGCCTTTTATGCACACCCCAGAGGCAGCCTCCAGCACCTATATTGAGGTTAAAAAGATGTTTCTCTTCCTGGGAAGAAGTCAGCTCTTAAGTAATCACAGGTGGTCCCCAAGGCAGCGTCAGTCCCAGCGTGCCACTGTCTGGCACTCAGAAGGAGAGTGAATACCTCTGCCCATCAAACCAGCACTCCCTTTCCTCCAGGGCTGTCTTTCTTCTTTGGAGGTTTCCCATCTAAGCTGCAAACACCTTTGTGTCATTTATTAGCCTGGCTCAGGATAAAGGGTTTGCTTGGCGGCTTTCTTTTTTTGCAGCACCTGATTATAAGCACCTGCCTTTTGACATGGGAGTGAAAATTTGCTAGATTTGGCTGTTGTCAGTAAAATGAGACCTGCATGCGAGCCACGGCTCAGTCAGGCATTTCCCAGTGTTGCACATAGGCTTTCTATCAGGAAAGACTTACTCTGACACATGGATCCAGTCTTTCTCTCTTTACACCCTAAACTTTTGAAATAAGGAAATGGAGAGGTTTTCACATCATATAAATTTCCATTAGAGAACCATCAGAGGAGGAAAGGGTGGGGCTGGCTGCTCAGCTAAAGAGCGTGATGTTGATCTAGGAATCAGTCTGCAGATGAAGTTCCCAGGTGGAGGCAGGTTTTCTGGCTCATAGAGCCAGGTCAGGCTGTTACAGAGTTTTCCCCACAGTCCTGGCTCTGGAGGCTGTATTCTGGTTACAAGGAAATTCTCCAAGATCAGCCAACCTGTTGACATAACTTTCCTGAATTTCCTTTGGGAAGAATCTGTGTGCATGGGGGAATGAATTGCAGCCTGGTCTGACCTCACTGGAGTCAGGATACGGACCAGGCTCCAGTCATGGGGCATTTTGCCCCTTGCTTAGCTCCCTAGGAGGCCCAGAAGCCAGTCTTCATTTTTCCATGCTTCCAGCACCTGTAAAATGGAGCTGATGATAATGCTTCCTTTACCCTTCTCTTCACCTGTGGGCATTTGTCATGCTGTTTTCTGGAAAACATGTACAATCAACAGCATTGTTTGTGGATCAATAGTCACTCCTAATGCTGTGTTTTGAAGGTCAATGCAAATGTTTCCTCCCCTCTCACTTGCTGTTCTCATTTTTGATGTATGTGGTGCTGGCCACAGGCAAGTCTGTGTGGAAGCCTTAAAAGAAGGCATGTTTTCAATGAGCCTGTGACGCTCTCATGCCTAACATCTGCCTTTCCTTTCATTGAACGCCAATGACTCCTGGGCTTGCAGTGATACGAATTTTCCACAGGTCTCTCATGTAGTTCTACTTCTTCCTTTAGGCTTCCTTCCACATACTCATGCTTACGTTCAAGTTCAGCATGAGTAATAGGCCCAAGTGGTAACTGGAAGAAGAAGCAGGCAAGCTACTGGTGGAGAACAATTTACTGAATGATCTTATACCATGTTTCTGGTTTGTGAAGTATGAGTCTGAACCACATCCATTGTAGCTTTTCCATAGTCTTAAGTGGTAGCTACATCATAGCCTGACTGTGAATTAAATTTGCTTTTTTTTCTAAGTTAATTATTCTTAATTTTTTTTTTTTTTTTTTTTTTTTTTATGTGCAGGTAGCCAACTCTGTACCAGCTTACTATCTGCCTAGGCTGCATAACAGCCAGTACTTATTGTATGCATGTTACTCAGCTTTTTATCTGGACTTGGATGGATGATTGGAGGAGTGTAAAGGAAGCAGGCTTTCTAATGGACTGGAAAGATGAGTATTCCCAACATGTTCCCTTCTAGTTATGGATATTCACATAAAAGTGATCTTTCCTGAGTGGTGGAATGGAGAATTGGTTATAGAAGAGCACATACAAACCAAATCAGACCCAAAAGGAGGTAGGTGAGTGTGTGGGAACACAGAGGGCATTTGAGATTTAAGACATTTGCAGCTCCACATTAATTGAGTGTTGGCTGAGTCTCTAACAAACACCTACTGAAACATGTTTCAGTTTTGCCCGTAAAGTTTTTTGTGAATTATGTGAGCATAAGAGGAGTAATGGGGGGTGTAGACAGTAATGAAATCTCACCACCTCCAGCTGATCTTAGGATTTCAGCTTTGCTTTGACTCATGGAGGATGAACACCCATTTTACCCTTCTCCACAGTGAGAAGTCAGTCCTATTGCTTCCTCTTGACTTGAAGTCCTGACATTTACTTCAGGAATACCTTGTATTCCTATGATTAAGGACTTTTTCAGTCTTGAATGCACTTTCTCAGTCCCATACCCAACTTCCCAGTTAAGCTGCTCACGTATTTATGCAAAACACATTTCTCTTACTTTTTTTTTTTTTTTTAACTGAGGTTTTTTTAGCTGTGAATATTAAACAAAACAAAACCCGTAAGAATCAGTAACAACACTTCTCTCTTACCAGTATCCCAGCTCCCAGAATGCCATGGAAAAACCAGACCACATCAGTTATCTCGCCGAGCTGTGGAACTTGTCCATTGGGGAAGTACAGGAGGATGTTGGAGACTATGGCACATGCTGCCAGTGGGAACAGGGTGATCCCAATGCACTTTGAACACTTCCCTGTGCACATGGTAGCTCTCTGCTGAGGGAAGATACAGGGAGTTTTGGGTTACTGCAATGCAGGGAGCATGGGATTTCAACAGTTTTCTTCTTTAATGAAAGAAGAATCAGTTTTGAAGAAAGAAATGTTCCAATTGAGATTTACACATGTAATCCTGTTCTACAGAGCCTGTTCCCTTCAATGATTCTATTTTAAAATAGAATTATTAAACCCCAGAATGTTTAATTAATTGAATTTATTTAAAATTGCCAGGACTTAACATGTGTTGGTATGAAATGATCAGAGACTTTAATTTTAATTGTTAATGTACAGTTGTCTGTCCATTGGGAACATCATTACTAAAATCATGGCTGCACAAACTGATACCCTGGCTGGCAGATTTTATGGTGGGGCTAAGGACTTGGGTGGAAGGGAGGTACATGTACCAGGTTGTCTTAGACCACTGTCTTGGGAAGCTGACTTGAAATCTCCTGCATTGGAGGGCTAGAAGAGCAGGAAATTGCTGCCAGGAATGACACATAAATATTCAACCCTGCCTTGGTGCTGGGACAGAGGAGGGAGCCTCCCCAGGTCCCCTACCAACTGCATTTTCTCTATTTCAGTCAAGAATACACTGTCAGCAAGACTTGGAGAAATTTTCATTACTGTTTTCTGTGATGTGCTTATTTTGAAGATAAGAGTAGATAAGACTGGGTTACAGGGCTGTTTGGCACCCACCCTAAAGTATCCAAAAAGCTGGAAACATGTCTAATCCTGTGTCTATTTGCTAAGGGAAGGTCACAAAGCCATCTTGCCTCATTTCAGGGATCTGCCATAGCATGTAAAACAGCAGCTTAATGTTTCACAGTGGTCAGGTGGTTCTTTTAAAATCAAAGAATCAACATAAATGAAGCACTAATTTAAAGGGGTCTCTTCAGGTCTCCAGTCTGACCTCTTGCTGAAAGCAAGACCATCACCACTATTAAGCTGCTGTGTCGGCCATGGTTTTGTGTAGCTGAGCTATGAAACCCCCCAAGGATGGAGCTACCAACTCCAGGTGACCTCTTGCAGGGCTGCCCCAACATCTTGGTGAAAAAGTCTCTCCCCATGTCCAACCTGAATCTCCCAAGCTGTAAACATGGCTGTTTCTCCTCATTATATCCTCTCCCACCACTCCATCACCTCTGTCAATCCCTTTCAAGTTTGTTGTAGGCTGCCATTAGGTCCCTTTTCACCTAAGTGAACAACCTCATCTGATACCGCACCCATGCTGTGCTCTATAGCCAAAGAGAAAAGGCTGATCAGTACGAAAGATGATCCACAGGTATTTCTCCATGCCAGGTTGAAACTTTGGGCTACTGGGTCAAACACCATTAAACTTTCACACTGCCATTACCTTTATGGCTCAAAATGATCACAACTTCTTTATGATGTTTTATCATGGGTTCACTCCAGCTCAAGTCTTTCACGTGCATAAAAATGCAAGATATCAGTCTGTAGGTTTCTGTCCTCAGAGAAAGATAACAGTTTATGCCCAGGATAGCTTTGCTCTCTTGTTACAAGTTACAAAATATAAGAGAAGGAAGATGATGTGGACATGCACCATTTCAGTACACACACGTTACACATGCACACACGCAGCCATGCACATGTGTATGCCTACGCTTGCTACATGCAAATAGTTTTTGTAATAAATGAGGCAGTTAACAGTGAAATGTCCCTCAATTTAGTCATGTGCATTGGCTAATCCTGGAAGTTTTGTGACAGGAGTTGGTGTTGAGATGGTATTAAGCAGGCTAGGAGTAGAGAAATCAATCAAGGTTGGGTTCCCAAGCAAAAAAAAGCCCAGGTGAAAGACAGTATGAAGATATTCAAGAAAGCTAGAGACAGGCTGAAACTGGTTTTGCTGACAGAAAGAAGACAGCAAAGACATGGGATAAGGCATGAAGACAGACCAATGTCCTCAGACCGCTGTAACTGAGAGGGAAAACAGAAAGACTTCATGGGATGCTGTATATTGCTGTGAGGTAGCTGAGACTGCCAGAGACTTCTTCTGACTTTTCATTTCTATAGCAAAAAATTTGCATTGTTCTCTGCTGCTATGAGTTTAGTAAGAGCACTGTGCTTACATGACTTTTCTTCTGAGCACTTTACAATCACGTTATGCTTTTTAATCCAGCTTTAAAACGAGTTAACCAGCATTGAATTATTTCAGAAGGGAACATTTTTAACAGAGATGTTTCTTGCTTTATGGTCATTACTTATTGTTTATATAGTGTTCAAAATTTGGCAGGGCATTTTGCAAACCTCTGGAAAAATCCCCAGCTCAAAGAGATAAAAATCTAAGCAGACCAGCAGTGTGCAAATGAAAGATGAAGCAGGGAGGGAGTGAAGGGAAATTGAAAGAATACTGGCTATTTTACTTGTCTTTCTCTCAAATACCCAATGCATTTGCTACTCTGTTTACACTGACTTTTGTCTGTCTGCTTTCTTGTCTCATTCCAGCTTTTGCTTTTCCATGTGTTTGCCCAATCTCACCTACTTCCCCTCCACAGAGAGAAGCAAACAAGCACAGGCACAGCCTGGCCTCCTTCTCTAAAAGCTAAGTCTTGTAGGCAAGTTATAAATTATCTTCTGCATATTTCGTACATAGCCAGAGGGCCCACTTCTCACCCAGTGCGATGCTTCTTTGGCTGAAAGAACAGGGGTTTACAGCCCATTCTCTCTGACCTATCTCAATACCACTTCAAACTGCAAGGTGAACTTACCTAAACATCAATCACCAGACCTAGTGAGAATCTCTACCACCAAAATCAATGCTGCTTTGCTACCTGTGTACATCAGAGGATCTGACCATGTTATTATAGCTTAGGAAAACACTCTGGATTGCCAGAAGCACTCAAACCATTTTATTAATTCAGCAAACAAAAGCACTTTCTACAGCTTCGTTAAGCCAAGCAGCTAGAGCAAGCTTCTAATTTTTAACTAGGGTTTTAGAAAGTTTTGCTTTTCAATGCTGAGGGAAGCAGGTAAATACCTCTGTTTACCTTCCACACCGGGCTAAGATGGCCTCCAGGCTCCAGAGTTGTCCGCAGCTGTCTTCAGGCTTCCCAGTTCCTCTGTCCTGGAGTGTGGCTGTCTGAGGGAGGCACAGCGATGTTCACAGGCAATGATGACCTCTATTAAACAAATAGTTGTTTCTCTCCAGAGGGTGGGGAAATACCCCGAGTTATCCCTGGTTGGCCAGCGCAAGGTTAGCATGCCACCCAACATTATCGATTATTTTAAGGCAGTGTTCCAGTGGTCAATGCCTTCCGCCCCCCAGGACATGCAGATCAGAGCAGCGGAGACCTTTTTACTGCCACAACCATTTCAGCCACACACAGTTTGGCAGAAGAGGAGAGGCAGGAGATGGCAGCAGTACAAGCGCATGAAGAGGAGCAATGGGTGGGTGGCAGAGAATGTGGTTGGAGCATGTGGTGGTGGCACAGCAAAGTCTGGCCATCAGTGTGGAGTTGTCTTCTGCATAACTGGTTGTGGCTGTTAAAATTTGGCACTGGCTTTTCTCCAAAGTATGCTGCTGGTAGAGCGAGGACAGTATGGATGGTAAGGGAAGGAAAGAAAATTCTCAATAAGCCAGGGGAAAGGAAGAGGGAGAAGGGTGGAAAGGCTGGAGAGAAGGGAGAGGTGTGACCACATAAGGAAACAAGGAAATAAAAACACAGTTCCAAGGAGCAGAGAGGGGGAATATGGAAGGGAAACTGAAGATTCACTTTGGCAAAGAAGAGAAAGGTAGAAGAGACACTAGGGATGGGCCAAGAAATGAAAAACACAGCAAAGGGTATGAAGAACTGTTAAAATTAAACTGGGAGAAGAGTCATACTGAGGAAGGAGGGTTGTGGACATTTTCTTTTGTAGAATACGTGATAGCAACAACTGTTAAAATATGTCCAAACAATAAAGCATATAAATAAATATGTTCCTCAGTAGGTTAGGTTTGGCTCCCATCATGCTGGGAATATACTCAGTGCTCTCTTTGACTGAAAACATGTTCCCTCTGGCAGGCACCTGCCATTGCCTTGTTCTCAACATCCAGATGGAAGGATGATTTGTTCAAAAAAATCATCAACGAAAGGGGCATGTGAGTGAAAGGAAAGATGCAAAATATTCTACTCTCCACTGTCTCTCATCTTCATTCTCATCTTTGGAGAAAATTTCTCACTATGAAAGATTCGTTGTGTAGGGTAGAATTCATCTCACACAACTTTAGATGTCCATGAGGTAAATGTCACCCTAGACTGACTTTATTCCTAGTGAGAGAAACAAACACTTTTAAGGAAAAAATCACCAGAACTCTTTTAGAAGCTACTATAGGGGTACAATAAATCATTAATTGTGAAAGAATCTCAACACTTGTTCAGAACTAAAGGTTGGCATCTGTGGTCAGATGAACCCCACCCATGAGGACTACCGGCATGGCAGGGTGGCTGCAAAAGCACAGGGACAAAGCCTGGGACTTCAGTCCCCAGGTTGCATATTTAATAACACCAGCATCAAAGGATTCGGGGAAGGTTGTCTTCATCACTGATTCAGAGCTAGAGAAATATCTTTAAAAAGCTCATATAGTGATCTCAGGCAAACAAACTTCATTACAGTACAACTGGCAAAAAGGAGGGAAACTGAGCTGAACCCAGTGAACCCAATGCCCCAGACTTCAGCTAACACCAGTGGCAATAGCATTTCTCCATGTTTTATGTGGTGATGCTTCAAACCCAAGGAAAAGGAACAAAATAAGTCTCAGACAGTCTTCAGACAGGGCAAAGGCACAAGGTCTAATGGCATTTAAAGCATTTAAAGATTTAAATTTAGAACAACTTGAAGACCACCAGTAATTTGCACTGACAGCTGGGGCACCTAGGGTGGGACCTCACAGCTCATGTAGAGACTTAAGAAGCAAATAAGGAAACTTTATAAAGATACCTAAGATGAACATTCCCCCTAAATCTTGTATCCTGGTTGCTGGGAGTTTTTATAGACTCTTATTCTATAATATCTCTAAGACACCACCTTTCCCATCCTCGCATAGCTAACATTTAGGCTCAGAATCCTTGATTTTGATTCTGTTTTTCTGATTTTGCCCAGCTCATAGTCCTCCAGAGTGATGTGCAAGGCTCACCTCTGTAGTTTCTCATTTGTACCGTGTCCACAGCATTATACATTCATTTACTGAGCTTTTTGAGTTTCTTCTCTTCACCATCCAAAGCTTATCCCACCCTACCATACTTCATCTATCACTTAACATTTAGTGTCTAGACTTGATAGACTTGACTGTGTCTCAACTTCAAATACCTCTCAGTGCCATTCTCCACTGAATGCTTAATAGTTTTTCAAGCAAGTGCACGATGAGCAGAACTGATAATGTATTAGTTTTGTGCTTTTCCATTTGCCTACAGCAATCTGTTGTCTTTTGTTCTACTACACAGATTTCAAACTGTTTGGAACAATCTCAGTGTTTTCATATGTTTCTACAATGTTTTGTGCTCAGAGCCTTAACCAAACACTAGAATTTCTAGCCATTACAGAAAAATAAAAATACTGGTCAGTTCTATTAAACACAATTCTCTTACTGCTTCAACAATATCTTTAGATTTGCTCATTACTGAGTAGGATCTGTATTTGGTCTTTGTTGAGACCTGAACTAAATACTGCTCATTCTGAGGTGCAGAAGGGATGCCAAAAAGAAGAGCACAATAAAAGTCTGTATTAACACCAGAGAGCCTGACTCCTACCTGTTTTCCCAAAGTGATAAACTCATCCTAAAGAAATTTAAAAAAAAACAAGCTCTAAAACACTTAGAAGTGAATTTTGTCTGTGAAATGTTTAGTGGCTAAACTGAGTGTATGCGATTGTGTACATCTATTTTCCCTCCTGCAATATTGACTTTGAAGGCAATGAAAGCATTTTGTGTTCCATTGATCAATGCCTCCTGATTATGTTGACTTACTGTACATCAGCTATGATCCTCCTTTTATTTCTATCCTCTTAGCCATAAACTGTTTATTAATTTTCCAGTTACACATAGTAACACTGGTACCAAGAGAGGAAATGTAAATATACGAAAAATCCTGTTCACCACACTAGAAATGAAAAACATTACAGGCCTACAATTTCCCTGGGAGGTGCAATATGTGAGCTAGAAACTAAAAAATTACAGCCCTGCTCAGCTTTTTGAAGGGCATATCTGACGGCCCACTTTATTAATAGATTTATCCCATTTGGAGTGCATCTGCAGTGCACTAACGAGCAAATGCCCCTTTTGCTGTTGATATCCTGTGTAAAAAGGAGCCAGGCAGCTCTGCTCTCATTTATTCTAGTACAAATTAAGACGTTCTTAAGTCATTCCTCTGAAGTCAAAGTTTTAATCCAAATACACAGTGATACTCCCCTCAATTTCACTTATTCCACTTTGACACTGTGACACAAATTCTCTCTTCCTGCTGTTTCCTGTGACACTTTGTTATTCATGTTCTTCAACTGAGGGAAAAATAGGTTGATTTTCCCAAAGAAGGAACAGGAAGCAAAATGCTGTTGAGAGGCTTTTTCAGAGATGATCTGTCTCTGAGAAGGTTCATGAGCTTGGGCATTGCAGATAACCTTCCCTGGAGCCCCAGATGGCTCTCCTTGCTCTTGCAGCGGGTACCCATGCCTCCCTGTATCCAGGAATGGGTGGATGACATGTTAATGTAGAAACAGCAAGGTGAAAATAGCAGTCCCAGTGCTATTCAGCTTTTCCTTTATCCAGAGTATCCCAGACACACATAAATCCAACTAATAGCTGATCACATGTCAAGAGCACCAAGGAAGATGAAGGGCAGCTCAATGCAAAAAGGCTCATGTCTTGAATCAGATCAGCGGTAGCCACAGTAAATAACATCAAATAATTGAGTGATGCAGGTTACCGTGCTTATATTAAGAATACATACAGGTTTGAAGAAGTGGAATGGAAGTTGTTCTGGACCAAGTTTGAAATAGGCTCTCCACACTCTTTGGGAATATATTCACTGCATGATACCTTCACACATGCATGGTCCTAACACACAGCTTGTTCTCAATGTGCACTTCACAGGGACAAAAGGTTAAATAACACATGGGTGGATCTTCTCTCCTATTTTACCTAGTTTTCTGATATTTTTTTCCTTCTTCCTTTTCCCTTATATCTCCTTTATATGCACAACTCCGTCTTCTACATACCTAGGCACTCTCTCCTACCTGAGATAACATCCAGAGTCTTTGCTGAGCAGTTTTTTCCATCTGATGACGGTGCACACTAATGCCACCAGAATGAGACAATCCTTTAGGAATAAACCCCGTGGTTATCAGTGGCTCTGTGAGCCTTGGGCACCCCAGGTTTACACAGCCGATGCTCTGCAGAAACACCTTCTGGGACAAGGGGGAATGGTGCTGTAATTATACCCAGCAAGCTCTCAGCAAAGTATTACCCGCTGCTTGCTTGTGTGTATGCATGTTCATCTGATTTATCTCAAAGCTCATTTTATTTAATTATGTGAGTGTTTTGTCCAGCAACAGCACCATGCCAGCCCCACTGTTTTCTAAAATGGCAATGAACCATGACCTGTGGCCAAGGGTTGTTTGTGCTCCTAACACAGAACAACACTGTCACTATCCAATATTAAAATAATTAGAGGTTTGTGCTTTCATTTTGCTGGTTTCGTGCAACACTTCTTTCTGGTTTTGGCTGAAAGGCATTTCTCATCGCTGTGTTTTGTCACTGGAGTTTGTCCAAGTATGTGTTCATGGTGCAGGTGAATTAGGAGCTAAAAGCAGTACCCACTGGAAAATGCCCTTATTTACCTGACCAAATAGGAGAAATGTTACTTCTTCAGGTGAACAGTCTCCTCCCTTCCTAACTTTCCCTGAACTGCCTTGTCTCCCCCAGGAAGCCTTCAGTAATGAAGACAAAGTATTGAGAATATTCTGAAGAAATGTGAGTTTTGTTAAAAAAATTCTCATTGCATTTTTTAGAGCTGTTTGATATTCTCAGGAGAGATGGTTTCTGCAGTCCAGGGCAGTGTTTCTGGTCAGACTGAAAGACCCGTGGCTCATCCACGTAACATGTGAGAGATTAAAAACTCCCATGG